TTGATCTTCAGTACAGTCTCAAATTGAATAGAAACAGTTTTGCAGCCGAAAATATTTTACTTTTAACTAAAATTTGTGTAGCGACTTCAATTGTTTAATGTCAACTGGCAATACGTTGTGAAGTAACGCACATGTATTGTAGGTGGATTTCTGAAAGTGAGCTATTGATACTGTCACTTGAATGTGATTTCTACGACGTGTGTTGTAATCATGAATATCAGTATTGTATGAAAATATGTTCCCACCGTTAAGTAAGTCAATTCTGACAAATATTACAGATTTGTAAATAAATAGGCAAGGCAATGGTAAGATTCCAAGTTCAATGAAGAGAGGCTTGCAAGGATCACACGGATGGCAATGTCTCATTATTCGAATAATTTTATTTTGTAATCTAAACGGTTTGGGTATTACTGATTAGCTTCCCCTGAATATTATGCCATATCTCAGGCGGGAATGCACATTTGCAAAATACACGCAACGAGCTGCCCGAAGGCTGACAGAATTAGAAAGAATTCTGAATGCGTAACGTAATGAACTTAACTTAGTGTTTAATTCTGTTATATATATATATATATATATATATATATATATATATATATTATTCGCGCACGTTTTCTTGAGCCCTCGCGTCGGTAGTTGCGGAAGGAGTGGGGTGTTTGGTTTTTTTCACAAAAGGAATTTGACATCAAATTTGTTGTTCATTTTTCGAAGCAAAATAGTTTATATTACACGGGAGCGAACATTTCTGTTTATCAGATTTTTGCCTACAACGCTCGTTGCTATCATTTATTCTTAATTCAACTAATGTTGACAAAGGAGTAGGGGTAGATATTCCGGAGCTCAAGAAAACGTGTGCGTAAAATATGTTTCATTTGAGGTTTGACTGAATTGAGAGACCTAGAAATTTGTTTACCTTAATATCAGCTAATTTAATATGATTAATTGTCAATGAAGCATACAATGGCAGACTTGAAGTGCAAAAATGCATTGAAACTGTTTTTCTCTCGTAAACTATTAATTTGTTAATAAAAAACAATTTGAAATTCCTGAAATCGTACTATTTACTGTTTCTTTTTTCAAAGAACATGCATGTCATCAGCAAACAGATCCACTCATCCGTTTTTAATAGACGAGGGCATATCGTTTACATATAACAGAAAGAGGATATGACCTAAAATCGAACCTTGCGGGATCCCATATTCGATTGGTAAAGAATCGAAAACATAAATAAATAATATCCTTTCGTGCTAGTGTGGTATTTCTGCTCTTGGAAATTGATGTATTAAAGTACGAGGTTAGCCAATCTAGGGCGTTACCTTGATTGCACGATGTTATGGTCATAACGTCAAAAGCTTTCGAAAGATCTGAAATATTCCAAAGGGTGGTTCATTTTTGTCCATTAATGAGGCAACATCTTTAAGAAAAGAAAAAATGGCAGTTTTCGTAGATTTTGATTGTCTAAAACTGTGTTTTGAGTCTGAAAACGCGTCGTTTTTCCTCAGAAAAGTTTCCATTCGCTTATAGAAAAGCCTCTCTAATATTTTTGAGAAAACTGACAAAAGAGAAATTGGCGTTAATTTTGAATCTCATTTTTGTTCCCTTATTTAAAAAGTGGCTTAATTTTTGCGGTTTCGAAAATATCTGGAAATATTTCTGTGCATAAAGAAACATTGAAAATGTTAGCTAACGGGTGTATAAAGGTAGGTACACAAGTTTTCAATAAACAATCCCGAAATTCATCTAAACCACGTGAATACTTATTAATTAGTTTACTGACTATTCTCATGATTTCGTTAGAAGTTTCGAAAATTAACATAGTGTCGAATTTTTGGGGGGAAGAGAATGATGTTGAATTGAGAGTTCAGCCGCAATTCTAGAAAAGTGTTGGTTGAAGAGATGACAAGCCAGTGTCAAAATTCCTGCCACCATCGAGACTCGAAATGCGACCAGCAGGGGAGGCAAACCCTGAAGAGATGAGACCGAGCTCCCTGCTCCGTAGTCGCAAACCACACTTTGTAGTAGTTTCGGTTCATCATTCAAACTTGTATAATAAAATAGTGGGGTAGGAAATCTGGCGCTTAAGAAAAGTGCATTGATTTTACTTCTCCCCTGTACGCCATATACTGTTTTTACTTTTTTACGAAAATAAATGAACTCAAATAATTATCTTGCCACGAACCTTCTCTTCAGTCCCTCCGGTTTCCGTTTTCTGCTGCACGTCCGTTTTGTCTTCGTTGTGAGGTTTGGATTATTAAAGTGTCGAGTTTTTCTGGTGTACTCCGGACTCTGATCGTTCTATTTTACTTAATGTTCTCTTCGCTTATTTAGTGTTTACATTTTATTAACTTTTATTGGACCTTTTATAAAGCGCGGTATTAAAGAACTAATGGTACTTCAGTGCACATACTTCCTCGCATTATTTCTAAGTTTATGTATTGGGAGTATACGACAAGTAATAACACAAAAAATTTTGCTGGCCAGGTTATAACGCGATTGCCTGCTGTCGCCTCCTGCTATCTTCCCAAACGTCTGATTCCTCATTGGCTCTTTGCATCCTATCACAGTGGACAGGCAGCCGCTCTCGTTACAGTTTAAATTGTACTCACGTTATACTAGATACTTTAGTTGCTCTCCGCGGCTGATACATTCTTGACATCTAAATAAGTACTGGTTCCCTCGGTAAATGATGTCCTGTGGTATTACAGATATCTGTTCATGTGTATTTGGCCTTAATTCTTCTTCCGGGGTAATGCTCTGTTAACCCCTGTGGCAGATGTAAACTGTTGATTTAGTAAGCTACGTCATATTTGAGCTTGTCTTTTAAACAAATACAGTATTGAAGATCCACAAAATGTTAGTGGATGATGTTGTGGTTAAACATGTTCGGGCACTGAATGTAAATGACAACTTATTTTGGTGAGAGCTATGTCCCTTTAACTGGGTGGTTTATATTGTTGCAAAAATGTGGAGAAACTTCATACGATTACAGGTGAAACACCTGAGAATGAAACAAACATGTTTAGATGTATAGTTGTTTGAACTGCGAATTACGAAGATGTTACCTGTATCTGGCTACTATTGACTTGAAGTAGCGATCTAGCTTTTTCTCACTTCAAAGCAGAAACCCAACTTTAGTACTCTGTATTCCGAGGGCGCTAAACGCGGTGTGAAGCTTGACAGCCCACGAACTTACTTGCCGTGTAGTGATGGAAAATGTGACCCAAACGTCGATACATAGATATATCGATACATCACCAAAAGGTTTTTGATGTCGATGAAAACATCGATGTTTAGAATATTAATTTTTTTCAAAATGGAAAGACGGGTGGTATTTTCCCACCCTATTCCATTATTATAGTACTTAAATGAGTTATATTTTATTGTTTGGTCGCGTATAAACAGTAAATTAAAGAATAATATTTATCGAATGTAAAGAAGGGAATAAACCCTGAAGGGCATCGTGATTTTTTCTCTTTTTTCATTTATTCACTTTCATTCACAAATCATTTAAATAAAACGTTCTGTATCTAATGTGATACAAAACAAGTAACTACAAGTTTTAAGTATATTCAGCTTTAAAACACTCTGTCTTCAATTTCGTAAAACCGTTTATTTTTCGCATGAAACATAATACATATTTTGTTAACATTATAATAAAGTGAGACATCCTGAGCAACCCCGCAGAAATAACCATAAAGAAATCTCTCCCTCGGCTACCCTTCTCCCAAATTTACATATAAAAGTGAATAAACATCCAAATTAAATCCCATACCCTGATAACAGTGAAAAAAGGTTGCGAACAGTGAAGTGTTTCGTGCCATCAGGACATTAACAATATTGGTAGACGTCTGTGGCTGAAGTTTTTAAGCAATTAAAAATAATTCCTGGAAATTTTATTTATATAACTACATTTTTTTTGAAAATACCGATGTTTCAAACTCTGTCTCGCTCTCTCTCTCTCTCTCTCTCTCTCTCTCTCTCTCTCTCTCTCTCTCTCACACACACACACACACACACACACTCACACACACACGCATATGGACGGTTAGAAAACGCTTGAAATTGAAATATGGCTTGTGCCAGGATAATGAAATGTCCATTATAGTACATTTCCAGATGAATAATACTTACACCATGTTAAAATTGAGTCATTAATTTTTTATTATTATGAAATGTACAATACCAATTCATATTCATCAGGGTAGGCAATGCCTACCTGCCTACCTTGCCTACTCCAAGGAGCCGCCACTGATATTTACCCATTTTTTCGTTACCAGGACCCGGAAAGTAGAGTTGTTCTATCGAAAATTCGGCACGATTTGCAGCACACGATTACAATACTTTCTCTTCTTGCGATATAAGGGGAAGAAGTAAAATGTATTAAACCTACCTATGTGATCCGTTCATTGTCATTCATAGTTTGATCCCGACCGTGTGACTAATTTGGGAATAAACCGGCTGTTTCGTGAATTAGTCATATTTTGGACTTAAGCCGTAAACACACACACACACACACACACAATAGTATACAATAAAGAGAAAGGGAATCCCAAAAGAATCTAGAAAATATTGAAATTTAACGCCACCACGTGTGGAATGATCATGTATTTATAACCTCACACTTCATTTATAATGACACTAGATTTATCAGCTGTTACGGTACCATCTAATCACGAGCTTGAACGTCGCCATAGTGACACTATTTCAAGCTCTCGATTGGATAACACCGTAACATCTGACTTGACGTCACGTGCCACTACAAATAAATCGAAGTATAAAGGGGCAGTGACGCTTCCCGAGAGATATGCTACAATACGCGAGACGCCAATACTTGCATGAAAATTGTGGTAAACAACGTCAAAAGCGCGCCGAACGGCTATTGTCTTTCCTGATCATGTTCTTTTCTCTATTTTCTGATCAGCCATAGATGTCCGAAAGGATAGGGATGGCTACACAGCAGGGAAGCGTGGCGGCATTGCACTACTGCGCCCACACGGAACTGCGCTGTAAAGCATTGGGAGAGTGACGCTTCGTTCTGCGTATCCAGTTGGGGGAAGAGAGTTCGGCCTTCGATTAGCTTAAAACATTCTTGTCTGTCCAACGCATTTTATGCCAATGTACATTTTTGACCAACACTTTCAAGTTGAAATTTGGCGCTTTGCTATGCGTGTTGAGTGACGAGCCCTGACCTATGCAATTAATGTAAAACATCACTGAGCCTGTGCAACGCAATTATTTTCAACTGTCATTCAAATAATGTAAACGAATACCCTCCTTCCTGCTAATGTTTCTTCTCATGGTAGAAATAACACCATGATTCTTCGCTTTCGTTCACTGATCTCGCGACGTCAGAGTGACTTGTTTCGTTAAGGGATGGTACCTCATTTCGCACTAAGCACAGGAACTACTGCAATTTTTTCTTCAATTTTAATTAAACTAATATGCTCGAAATAAAATGTTAAAATCAGAATTAAAAGTCTTTGAATCCAAGTTTTGTGTGGAACAATTGGCTCGTTTACTCCATGGTGTGACGTGGAAAAGTCACAGTGGCGCAGTGAATGCAGCCAATACGAAGAAACTAGAAGTGCATACGTCAAGATTCGTTGAGTGGCAAGCGAGTTCTGTGCGTGGTGCGAAAGAAGCCGGTGTGGTTATTGTAGTAATCGCGAATGTTGTGACGCTCTGAGTTAATTGTTGTTTATGCCCTCATCATGAAACGACTCCTCATTTTGCAAATAATTGCCATTATATACTTGGCAATTGATGGAGTTTTCTCAGAGAATCCGGGAATTAAAATTAGGAATGTAGATCGGGTGATTGATCTAACCACGCAACTTGTAAAAATTTCGGAAGTGTGTACTTTAGAAAATAGTGGCAATACTCCGATTAAAAATTTTCAGTACACGTTGAAGGATAATAGTGAAAATCTCGCTTTCTTCAGTGTCCAGGTAGGTTTAGTAGGCCAGTTTACACGTGCCGGTTAAGTGAATGTTTTCATGTTTGTTAATTTTATATTAATGGTCGTACTTGCACTGTTTTGTAGTTTATTATTGTTTTGTAGTTATAACGTTGGTTGCGACCTGTGAAAGTTAGTCCTTGATGGTATATGAATTACACAATTGTCAAAAACGAAATACATTATGATATAGCATACAAGTTTTTGGTTCCTTTTGTATTAAATTTGTTTAGAATAATAAAGAAATTCCCAAATTACACGTTTAAGACCTTTCCCAAATATTTTTTAACCTTTATGCTTTGACCCCTATTTTCATGTTGTCTTTTTCTATCTGATACTGTATCATTCTCTGAAGGGATTTTTCCCTTTCAGTATTTCTCATAACTTGGGAGAATACTGCAAATTTTGACTGCTAGTGCTTTCATAAATGTTTCAATATTGATGCTCTGGCCCTGCCTGTATAATATTATCTTTCATGTAAAGCATTATCAAACATTCTACTCTTGACAATGAGATTTTAGAGTGAACTGCTAATGACTGATAGTTTACGGTTTTTTAAACTTTCTTTCTTGAGCACTAAAGTTGCTTTGATCTTTAGTGCACTGTCCTGAAGAAAAAAATATTTTACTCTTTTGATTGTATCAATACTTTTTCTCATCTGGCAACGACAGGAGTGGTACTAAAATACATTTCTGAATCTGTCCTAAACACTGAAATGTATTTTGCTGTAGATATATTTGGAAAGCAATTATGCAAGTACCGTAGTATAATACCATAATGTTTGTCTTCCGATGGAAGTTAAGCAGATGCTGCCTGATGATTGTGCTCCCTGGTGGCTAATCAGCTAGCATGTAAGCTTTTATGTGCATATTGTTGAGTTTGATTCCTGATTCAGAATTTATCTGACATTGACTGCAATCCTGGGTCTATTTAAAGTTCACACAACAGCTGAGAAAATTGTTAAAATATGATTGACGGTTGAGCTTATTATGAAGGCCATACATGTTAAGATTCTTAATTTTGTGAAAAAATTGTGTGAAAACAGTAGATCGAAATTCACATTGTTGTTATTACACAATTTCACAAACTCCAGTAATAATTTAAGAGAAAAAAGTAAAGAGAACAGCTTGTACACTTGTTTATTGCTTCTGTAATTTACTTTTGCCAGGTCTGCAGTTTATGTTCACATTGATAAAATTTCCATATTATACACATTTCGCATTGAGCAAGTTTTCCCTGTATAAACGTGTTTTTCAGATTTCATAATATGTATCTAATAATCGTATCTAATAGTCAATTTTGTAATCTGATCTCTTGTTAATAATCTGAATAATAAGTTAAGAAGGTTTTTTTTCAGGTGTTCCTACAAGAACTATTTGTTTTTATTAATGTTTTCTTCTGTACATTTGCTGATATTAGTAGTGGCATTCTCCATTCTTTATATTTAGCAAACTACTTTGTATAAATTTTCTCTTTTATTTGGCCATAGACTCTTTTAAGTTTTCATGGCCTTCATATTTCCTACCATAAAGTAGGGAAATAAATGTGGAGCAATGAATCAAAATATATTAACTCCACAATTCATTTTAATTTAGTTTGAAGCTAATTCATATTATATTTTGAACTTCTTGAACATTCATTAATAATATGCTGAATCAAAGAATTTTGTTCATTGAATTAATGGAAATTGTTGCATTGGCAAATCATTAATCCTGTGACATTATTTCTTGAAAACTCATATTTTGTCTTGGATTTGGAGCACAACTCTTATTATATTGAAAGGCAATGATCTGCAACATCATGTGCAAATTACATTAACTTTTCTGTTCATTTATGCTTTATTTATTTTTCAATGACCATACATATATAAATGTATTCCCTTTTTAACTTTCGTAGTTTGAACATGGATCTATTTATGTACTTACTGGCATGTACAAACTGTTGGGTCTTTATAAGAGACTCCTTTATGTTCAATGATGAGTTAAGTACTTCAAAGAAGTAATTGGGCTCAATTACTGTTACTTGTCAAATGTTTTACTCAAATACATAAATAATAAATATATAAAATTCTCCTTTACCATGGATGGGGCCTCTCGTTGAGTCTCATTCATGAACTAAATGAATTTACCAACTCATTTAGTTCACGACAAGAGGTCGTTCATGAGTGAAAATAATATAACGATAAAATAACGATTACAATTTTATATTAAGGAGTAATTTACGAGTAAAAAATACATTCTGTTGAAAGCAACGATTAGATTCTAAAATTACTAACAAAGTAATCGTTACAAATAATTGAATACTTATACTCAATTATTCCCAAACACTGGTTATATTATGTATTGTCTCTTAATTTCCATTAGTGGACAATACCAGCCTCCTAGTGTGTCCTGGAACAATTTAGAGTGCTATTAGAATCCAATGAGTTTGAGTGGCATTGAATGAAAGTAAGGGATCAATGTGACATGAAAAATTATGAACAGTAAGAAAGAAAAAAAAAATCCTTTAAAAAATCTTACTTTTAAGTATTTTATATTTTGTTTAGGATATCAGTGAAAATAAATTTCAAATGATTACAAGAACTGCCACAGAAGTTCATTGAGACGGCTTTTGTTAGAAATGGGAATGACAGACCCTCCAGAAAGGCATATATATATTTGCACGGTTTGCAATGGTCATGATTATTATGTACAAAGAAAATTTAAAATCGCAACTATTATTTAAACTATCATAGTTTTAGGGATTGTGTTATAATTAAATCATTTTATTGTTTGTACATGTATACCTGTGGGAACATACAAACTAAGCAAGATAGTCATCAGGAATATAACATTGCAGTTTTCTATAGAATTGTTACATGTTTGTATTATGCATGTTAGTGTATTACTGGAATTATTTCATGCAAGTGAACTTGTTTTGCAGAGTGGCGACTCTTCAAAGTCAGTTCTGCGATTTTCTGAGAAGAAAGTGAGTGGGCAGAGCACGTGGACTGTGGAATTGAATGAGCCTTTAGCATCTGGCAAAACCACTGTCGTGAGTATGAAAGAAATAGTCTGCTGTTTTGGTTTTTCATGCTGAATGTTCATAAATTGCCTCTTAGTAGTTTTCCATTGTATGATATGAGAAAAGCAAAGCAATATTATTTAAATTTTATTTTACAGGCGACTTATAACTATTATTTTTCTGCCCAATTTATTTCATTTTCTCTAGTTTATCTACCTAGATTTTTTCTCATTTAATTGACTAGGAGACAGTAGCAGAGGGAGTTGGAATCAAATTGTTAACATCAACCTAAAGTTCACTTTCAATTACAATATTTTCAATTGTAAATGGATTAGATCCATTAGATTTATTAAAAATAAAAATGTTTTTTTTGCAGGTAGATATCGATACAGTGTTCAGCCATCGGCTGGTGCCTTATCCAAGCAGCATTACTCAGAAAGAGAAGCAGTTAGTTTTGTTCCATGGAAATCATTATTTCTATTCTCCATATCCTGTGGCTCGGCAAACTTCGACAGTGAATTTGGGCTCAAAGGCTATTGAGAGTTACTCCAAATTGAAGCCTGTGTCTCAATCAGAGTCCACTTTGAATTATGGACCTTATGAAAATATTGCCCCTCTCTCATTTGTATGTTGTATAATCTCTGTTCAAATGTTGACTATATTTGAGAACTGTTTTAATTTTTTTTTTTTTTAATTTCAGGAGAAAATGACAATCCATTTTGAAAACAATTCTCCTTTTCTAACGGTCACAAATCTTTTAAGAGTAATTGAAGTATCACACTGGGGCAATATTGCTGTGGAGGAGACAGTAGATTTGCTTCATACTGGAGCTGTTCTCAAAGGACCATTTTCACGGTATGAATATCAAAGAGAAACACACAGTGGCCTCTCAAGTGTGAAGTCATTTAAGGTAAGCACAAGAAAGCATAGAAGAAAACGTTAAGTTGGCTGTGAATGTTACTTTTTGTTTTGTTTCATAGACCCTTCTACCTGCTGCTGCAAAGGATGCATATTACAGAGATGAAATTGGTAATATTTCTACATCTCACATGAAAATATTAAGTGATTCTGTGGAACTTGACTTGCGTCCTCGATTTCCATTATTTGGAGGATGGAAAACTCACTACATTATTGGCTACAACGTTCCTAGTTATGAATATTTATACAATTCAGGTATGATAAGGGCCACAATGTGTAGTATATACCATATTTACCTGAAGATAATATATAATTCTGAAATATCTTGCCTTTGTAAATGAAACCTAGACTGTGAAGGTATGTTTTTACATTGCTTTTTTGTTATAGAACTTGTAAATGTTAATGTAAGAATAATCTTTAAAAATTATGAAAATATGTGAATTTATAATTAGTAATTATATTTGTGGTCGTATTCTTGGCACCCATTGTGAATTTTCAAGGAGATTCAGAGACAATTTTCAATGGGACAGTAAAGAGAGAATCTCAAATGAATGGTCTTGACTCAAGTGAAACTTAATGTAAAAATCAATAAAAATCGTCACTGAAATTTTGTTACATGATGCGCGTTGTGGGTTGACGAGGTAGCGTGGATACTCAGTTCGATGCCAGACGAGTCTGAATCTGTGTTTTGGAAGAGATCGAAATGAAAAAAATCATATTGATAGATGTATGTACAAGATCTAAATGCAACCCCAGAAAAGAATGATAAACAAATAGTCTAAGCAAAACCTTGCCAAACTTGGAAAAAAAGACGTTATCTCCGAAACTAACCCTAACCCTTTGTACGCAGCGATGGTGTAATGGTTAGCTTTTTGGACTGTTGTACCCAAGTTGGCGGGTTCAAACCCGATCGAAGCTGTTGATTTTTAAGGGTGAAAAAATCCTTCGTACGCCTTTCTTCGGAGGGGAATAAAGCCGGCTGTCCCATGTTAGTAGATTTACTTGCATGTAAAAGATCCTCAAGCCTAAATGACGCCTCTGAGCCAAATTCAAATCACCTGTTTCTCGCCCAAGAAATACCTCCTTTCTCTGCTAGTTGGTGAAAGGAGCATAGCGAAATTTGCGTGGTCAGACGGAAGAGCAGGCCTAATGGCCTGAGTCTCGCCATGTAAAATAAGGCTTCAATTCAATTCAACCCCATATCAACTCGTGCACTGATCTTGTCAGCGCATTTCGGCCTGAGGAAGGTTGCTGAATGGTGGCTGAAATGTTGGCACCTGTGCCTAGTATTGGCGTTTCCGGGACAAAGAAGTAGCAATAGATGCTATCTCCAACATTACCCATGAAACGAAGGAATGCCGATAGACTAGTTCGCTGTTCACATCTTGATCACATGAACATTAAGCAACGTGAATGTTGAGTATATAATTTTATATTTATTCTGTTAAATTATGTGAAATTGATGCTAAAGAATCCAAGGCCACGAATGAGAGTGGGACTGGACGAAAATCCGAAGACACAGAAGGGAATGTTATGTACCATTATTTGAAAGACTAAGAATGTAAATTCAACAAGTAAAACTTTCAGTAGGTCCTAAACAGTCCAGAGGTCATCACAGTATAGGAGGAAAAGTAACAATGATACTGAAGACATTTGGACAATAACATGCTACGTGATTTGTGATGAAATCGAGATATTAGTGTATTTCGGTTCCTCGTAAGAGTCTCTAGATGTTTGGTTTTTATTTCAAAATTTTGCCTCAAGATGGCAGTGTTATTCATAAATTAATGTTCTTTATCCCAATGTGTAGAAGGAAATGTTTAAACCTTTACTTTCCTTTTTCTTAAAACTTCATATAGTGATAACATGTTACTGCCTCGGGGTCTTTATATGATAAAGAAGCGGGTAGTGATAAAAACCATCATTATGATGATTTTAAGGAACAAGAAATTAATGTTAGCTCAGGCATAAGGTTCCACTCTCATCCCCAAGTAATTTTCTGGTCTATTAGACAATCTTTTATTTTATTTGGCAAAATAGGAAGAATTAGTTAAAAATTTTCAGGAGGCCTCTTGAAAATTAAGGGGTTGTTGACTTATATTCGGGTAAATACTGTATTTAGTTACTGAAAATCAGTAAAAATGGAAATGAAATTCAGTAAATCATGGTCATCACCTCTACATCGTGTACATCTGTTTGGGTATCAGAGTATTTATTCACTTTGCATTTCTAATATGTTTCTATCCTATTTTCAGGAGATGACTACCTCCTGAGAATGAGATTCATAGATCACATTTTTGATGATATGATTGTGGAGGAAGTCACTACGAAGATAATTTTACCAGAAGGATCTCATAATGTTAAACTTCAGACTCCATATCCAGTACAGCGGTTGGGCGATACCTTTCATTACACATACTTGGATACTAAAGGAAGGCTTGTAATAACTATGCATAAAACTAACTTGGTAGAAAATCATATTCAAGATTTCAAGGTAAGTAGGCTAAAGACTAAGTGATCTCTTATTGAAATTGAATAAATGAAAAATAATTCTTCATGGCCTTACTACTTTTGCAGCTCCATTACAAATTCCCAAGAATGTTGATGCTACAGGAACCTCTATTAGTCATTGCTGCTTTTTATCTCCTCTTCTTGCTTGTCATTGTCTATGTTCGTCTGGACTTCTCTATTACAAAGGTAAAATTGGAATAAATCATCTCTACATTTATAATGAACGTATGACTAATGAATTGGTAGTTGCATAAACATCAGTCCACCGTTTGTGATTTTTGAGACATGGGTTTGAAACACATTCCTAGGTTGTAGATACATTTTTTTGAAGTGTAAAGAACATGAGTTCCTGTATTGGTATTGGGCAAATATGAATGCTAGATTAAGCACTTTTGCATAAACCACAAGAGTCAGTTCTAGGATAACACAAGAAGACTGAAAATATTTACTCTATAATAAATACACAGAAAATTATAATTATTGTTTACTTGAAATTTTTATCTTGCAATAACAAAAATATCCACAAAATTCAAAATTGTGTAGTAAAGTACAGATAAAAGATATTATGATTTTTTGTGCACTGAGTGTCATACAAGTGTGTTGTATTTTACTTATGGGGCCATTTTGGTGTTAATGTTTTCAGTGGTAAAAATTTTTTACCTTCTCCTGTAAAATTTACTTTTTAGGTCTAATGTTATTTATGCAACTGTCGATTCAAATGTATTAATGTGTAACACAGGATGAAGCTGGTGAGAATCGAATGAGAGTTGCTGGTTATTGTGAAAAAGTTTTGGCACATCAAGATAAAAGAGCTGGTCTGTATCGTCACTTTGATGAACAGCTTGTCAAATTGAAGTCCAGCAAGGATGTCAATGCTTTCCAGGCAAGTTTTGTTGAATTTTATTTCTATTAGTGATGATTCCTTCGTTGGAGCAATTTCATTTTAATAATTTTGTTTTCAGTCTTCAATGAAGAGTTTTAATCAAGAGTATAAGACTGAGACTAGCCACATAGCTGAGCTGTTGAATAAATTAAAGACTGATGCACCAGATATTGCTGAGAAAGTGCAAGATCTCCAGAAATTGGACAAGTAAGAATCTTTCGATCGAATATACTGAGCTGCTTGTGGTTTCTTAACCACTTGTATTAAACGATCAAAATACATGTCCTACAGCTCATTAGGCATCTCGGAGATAACAAGAATAATGGCTACCAGCTCATAGGATTAAGTGACATGTTCCACAACTCATAGTACTTCTCTAAGTAGGAAAATATTTTTTTAGCTTCTGGATGTGTCCTTTACCAATGCGTACACATTGTACAATTTACACCACAAGTAATGGGAGAAGTAGCGATTTCAGGAACTCATTTTGGAACTTTTAGGAGACAACAGGAAAGGTGATGCAGGTTAAATCGGAAGTTTCCATTCCATCTTTTCTTGAAACAACTATGTCTGTAGTGACACAAAAAATTAAAAGAAAAGCAATATTTTTTTCTTCTTTTTCTCTGAAGCTTGTCCTCATGAGTCAGCAATGGATCCTGGAGAATGCTTCCAAACATTTCAGACAAAGGAATTAAAGGAAAATGTAAATTATTATAATGTGAATTGTACGTTTTGAACTTCCAAACTTATGCCTACAAAGTGGCAAAATAATGAATCTTATATTCGGAATATTTCTTACTTTTATTTTAATACAATAGTTCTGTAATGTGGATTTAAATAAGTAAAGATATATATATATATATATATCTCCCATGACTGGGGAAGTCAGCTGCGAGCTGGAATGGGGGTATGCAAAGTATCTGCCACGAACAATGCTGCCATTTTCCATTGTTGTTTTATGGATGCCTTACAAGCTGTAGGTCCCAAGATTTTTCAGTCATTTATATGTAAAGATATTTTATTTGTTCACAGGCAATTACGTGACCTGTATCAGCAACATCAGACTTTGTATGTTGATAAGCTTGTGCCTGGCAAGATTGCTCGTCCTGCTTTTGTTGATACTGAAAATCAGCTTAACAGGAAGAAAGAAGAATGCACAGATAAAATTAATGCAATTGTGAAGTCACTGCAATAAGAGGAATCACTGTGTGCAATAGCTGGCACTGCCTCCTGAAAGTGAACTCTTTATCATTAGTTGGATGTACATTTATCTTTGTGTACTCTCCACAATTTGATTACATCACCTAAATAACTAGAACTTCTCACAATTCATAAATATATGTGTGTGCAATTGTAGACATATTACACTGTTTTCTTTAAATTCTCATTGACCTTTTTCCTACTCTAAGCAACAGTTTGTTAATGAGTTACTATAAGGCTTTACTCAACAACAATGAAGAGGTCTATTATGAAATTAGCTGCCTGTAAAATACGGTTATTCATATTCCTTTCTAGTAGTACCTTTGAAAGCTCTTCAGTCTTCAAGCAGACGTGAACTGTAACTATGATAACATAGTTTGTTGTATTCATTAACTTTCGTATCTGCATCGAAGCTTTCCACTTACTCTTAATGCATTTTGCTACTTTTATCATTAGATCTGCATCGAAGCTTTCCACTTACACTTAATGCATTTTGCTACTTTTATCATTAGTCCCTGTTTTCAGGATCAATTACTGACGACGGTCAAATCGGATTAAAAAATTTAACTTGAAGATCTTGCAATTGTCACTGAATGTGCAACAAATGATTCGTGAATTGCTGTGGCAAAACAACCTAAATTAATTAAAATTGATTTTAGCGGAGTGCACATTTGTATCAAAGTATGCCTAATTCGCGGTTGAGGAAATAATCCTAAAATGTTTATAAAAAATGTGGATCTGCATACACTGCATCGGATAAGTTTTAAATAACAATAAATCCTAAAGTGACAGGTTATCAAGATAAGTATTCTTATTCCATGAAATCCTGAAGGCAAATACTTCTCAGAGATGATGATTCAATGAGGGCTTAAAATCTTACAAAATGACCTGATTGGGAACCCAGTACCACAATTCCTATGCCTGATGCTGTGAGCAGAAAGCCAGTTAAATTATGATAGAATTTATTTTTAACTGAGAGATATATTCCTAAGTAAATTACATTAATTTTCAGATATGTACTACTTCTACAATGGAAAGTGGAATTTGTGAGATCTAGTAAGTTCATTAACCTGGGAGTGCTGGCAATAGGTGGCCTCGTGCTAATGCCCGCAATGTATCTCTCAGATACAGCTGCAACTTTTTATGAAAGCTAATCATGATCTAAAGCTCTATTTTCTGAAGTATGTATTTTAGTTTGTACATGTCCCCCAATGACATTGTTAATGAATCTTATACTGCAGAAATCTTTAAGTACTTATGCAGAGAAAAGATAATAATTGACAAACACACAAAAATTATTAAACATCTAATTAGATAATAAATACAATTTCCAGAAATGATTTTGTCATGTTCTAAACAAACATATTTAGTCTGGCACATCATCTTTTCCTTTGACAAGAAATAGTGACAGTTGATCCTAGATAAGACAATTGATTACATTTTGTGTTGGCACTTCTCAGACATGCCTGAAAATATTAGTGACACGTACCGCGGATGCCAGGAGCATCTGGTCAGAATGCATTTGGTGCCATTGTAAGTAACGTATCCAACATATCGTGCAGCACAGTGATAAAGTTTAATAGAAGGATAAAAATAGAAGGCCAGGTGTTCTCAGAAAAGTACACTGAAGGAATACATGAAATATCAGATGACTTATTCATTGCAATAATTCAGGAACATAAAATTGCTGTAGCTTGAATCTTGCAGATGTATAGCAAGCACTCCCAGGTTAAAAAATATCATTTTCAACACTTGGTCCTACTTGTTTATTGATTTTTTTATATTGAACTAAAAGAAAATCCAAAATTTCATGTTTACCACTAGAGCTCATGTAAGAAATGTCAGGTTGAAAATTTGAGAGGACGAAAGTTATGTAATATGCTTTACTAAACATTCATTGGTAATCAGATTCATTCAACAAATGCAAATTTTCATAAGTTCTTTTACTATAGAAAAACTCCTCTAGTCATGCAAGGATTCAGAAAAAAACAAAAACTTTTAGATCACAAAAATTTGTTTTCATCATTGGGTTCTTTGTTCCATTACAGGCACAACGATACTAAAAAAATCTTAGAACCGAAGAACTACGGAATGAATGTGTTATGACGAAACTTCAGAACTCGTGGATCTGTTATAGTCGCAGGCTGGAGTATCTTGGCCTGACCATGAACAAAATGAAACTATCCCTTCCAGGTATAAGTTCAGTGGAAATTGTTGGTGAGGGATGGTTAGCATTTGAATAGCAGGGAAAGTAGAAATAACCTTGACCAACATAATACTTACTAGCTACTAAACCACATGCAGATCTCTGGGTATGTGGGGAGGTGATGGGAGTATTGTGTGTTTGAAACTTCCTCACCAAATGATCAATGTAGTAAATAATGATGGTTAAGAAGCTCTGTATTAGTGTTGTAACTTAGAGCATGGTGAAAACAAAACAACACTTTTTGCTGAAAACAAGAGCACTATTGAATTCTCTAATTATTGTATACATGTATATGTAATCAGGTAAGTGGAATTCCTTGTGGCTGCTAAGTAAGGAGTAAAAGTATATTTATAATTGTGACATTTTATAAAATATAAACCCTGACAAGAGTTGTCTGTTATTCACATTAGATTATATAAACTAATCACAAGTTGGAAAGAGATGTGGCTCTCGTGTATAATTATTTTTTTGTGAATTAACAGCTTGACAAAGGCCAATGATATTTTCTGGAGATAAAGATGTTAGTAACGAACATTTAAGTGTACGAAGTGTGTATTGCATATCCTGTGAAATTACAGGTGTAAAGTTAGTCTATTAACTCCAGATGTGTAAAGAAAGCAAACTCCTTTTTGCAGGTGAAACATTACACCCAGAGAAAATTGGTAGATCATAAATGATACCCCTTTTCTCTGGACTAAAGCTCATGAAAAAGAAATATTCAAAGTTACAAGGTGTTTACAACTACTCAGACTTGCACCACTTTTGTTAGGCAAAGACTTCATCAATTTCAATTTAAACACCTGTGAATTTTTTTTATGGCTCAATATTGACACACGCTGCTTTCCCCACAGCTTTGGCATTATTTTTTGTATTCTTGTGACCAGGCAATAGTATTCATTTTATTTTCATATGGAAAATGTGAAATAATGATTTACACATTGCAATGAAATTATAATCTTATTCTTATAAATTATATTTAATAAATAGAAACATTTCAGAATCTACTTAATTTGGAGATTCACTGATGAACTGACCAGAGCCACCCAGTACAGTAGCATTCACGATGTCACATTCACATATAGCAGCGCTAATTTTTGCACTTTCTCTCTCTCAGGATTCATTCTTAACGGGCATTTAAATTATATTTATGAAAAATTAAAGTACTAATTATTTTCTAATTGAAACAAGAGTTGTCTGCAGAAGTGCAATAAATTTTAAAAAGTTGTTATATGTACAAAATATTTTCTTTTTTAAAAATGTTCCTATTTTAGGAATCCCAAAAGATCACCATAAACAAGCCATAGCATAAGTTTTTAAAAATTAATTCATCAGTGACTTATTCAACAATATAATGTTGAGAACATTTTATATAATGGAACTTCCATTGTATTTTTTACGTTCTAGTAAACTAGTGAGCATTTAGCATACATCATTTCATGAATATTAATTTTATTAAATCTGAAGTAAAAAGTACTAACATTTTAATTCAAATCATTGCAAAGGTGACAATATCCTGAACAATTATTTCCAAATATGAAACAAAATATTAAGTTAATGATTACAACACTGATCTCACAAAACTGTTTTGATATCTGTTCACCTGAATTTAAGTATTTAATTTTTATGTGGAATTATTTCGTATGATTTATTCTAGAATGCTCCGACACATGTCAGGCAACAATTTTGTTTTTATTCAATTTGCTGACATCAAGTTCCTTCCAGTTCAAAGCAATGCTACTGAACAAAAGAAAATAGTAAGAGCTAACATTTTTTGTTACGGGATACTATTTAGTGAACAAGGAAAAAGGTGGTCCTATTTTTTATCTCTAACTCCTGGCAATAAAACTCCACAGGTGTTCACAATAATTTAACTTCCTAAATGTATATATTGAATGAACAGGCAACACAATGTATTAAAGTTTTTATGAATATTCAACTTTTACTCAGCAACATTCTTACCCCTTAAACCATTTGATCAATTAAATTTGGCATAAAATGTATGTAATAAGTGCATGGAGAGCAATTCTCCTGATTTATCATTGAGGTACCAGCCTTTGTAGCCCAGAGCCGAAATAATTCACTTTGACACTAAACAAATATGAGTTAAAAAAATTAGCTCAAGTTATAACTACTTCAAATGGATTCCCAGGCATAAAACTGTATCACTAAGAAAAATGTATTGCATTTGATTAATTGATAAGTAGTCATACTCTGAAGACAGATATTTAAAATGTACAAAAGGATAATTTTCTGTAGTTTTCTTGTATTTTATAAAATGCAACGCCCTTCTGTTTACTTTCACTAACTAAACTGAATGAGTGTGCAAAAGAAACAGTAGGCTGATGCTCGAAAAAACAAAATATTTTCCAACAATTTAGGGACATTTTCATGCAGAATGGATGGAAGGGTACAATGAAGCACTGGTACAATTAAGTATTGATGTTCAAAAGTTTATTTCAAATATGATTTAGGAGATGTTCTACAAATTGTTTGATGTCCATGAATGTACATGCGCTTCAGGCAGTGAAGTTCACACATGATGTGTGAGTAAGCTTACACTCCGGGTGCATCTAGACAGTCCCTTGATTTTTTGTGTTATTTTTTTATAATTTTATTATTTTTGGAATTAAAATGCGTGATCAGAAATTGTTTCTTTTGGAAACTCGTCAGTTCATGATTTTATGTCTTGAAAGACCAATAGGAGCAGTAAATAAATTTATTATTTTGTGGCAGTTTGGTGTCTGCAGTATGAATAAACATTGATAGGCTCATACCCATAGATCATTTCAGAAATAGTATTCTGGTGCTTCATGACCAAATGATAGAAAGGTAGGCGGGATAAATCTTAAATTAATTTTGAAGTTACTTCAAAATAAGTAATTGGAAATTGAAAAGTTCATTTCTATGCAAAACAATTATACATTGAATCAAAATCAATGTTACACGACTTAAAAGTTTTACATGAAAATATTAAATGAAAATTTAGATACTTTATATAAATATACTTTTTTATAAGTCAATCATGCAACAATTTGAACATCATATCAACTTTTTGAAAACTTTAATATAAACATCACAGTGTGGTGATATATTTATTGAACACTAACAGCAATATATTCCATTCACAGTTCAATAACCAACTCTAGTCTACCAACTAATGCAACGAAACACCAGCAGATGAGACGATACCATGAAAACGTGTGCTGTAGTTAGCACTCATTTCTCCCCAAATTAGGATGCTCCTGGATATAATGTCTCCATATTGCAATTTTTGATTTAAACTCGTGAAATTATGAAAACAAGGATCGTTAACATGGAAAGTGAGAAGAATACATAATAAAGATTAAGTGTACAGAAATTGTTTCACATGACCAAAAAAAAAAGTTTTACATGGTTCACTGAAGTGTAACCAAAAGGCCTACACATACCTCTTTAATGAAATCTTAATAAAAATAAAATTTTGAACATTTAAAAATCGGTAACTGAAGAATTAATGAGTAGGTACAGTAGATTGTTCCCTTGATATTAAAGTTTTGTAATGAAACTGCTCTAATTTCCACACAGAATAAAAATACAAGAATTCTTCCAAAAAAAAATGGAGTTGCGTTATTTTCTTCTCACACAACCTATTTATCACATAAATAAAAGATGCTCAAATTGAAGATATTTCAACAGAATAGTTGAAAGATTTTGTAATAAGTATTTATCCCTTTATTTATCTACATGTATAAACCTTTTATGTTACACCTGCACATACAAAATTAAAAGGAAATATCATTTTTCATGACATTGGTGTACTGCCAAATGGACACCAACTTCTATATGTACATTGATTCACTGAAATCTAAAAAAAACAAATTATGCAAAAAATAGATGATTGATCTGATCTTGCAACAATCAGAAGAATTTTTACACTGACATGTAAAATGAGAAAACTATTAAAAATTGCAAAATGGTGTGCACAATATACCTACTGATATTTAATTCTAAATTATGACAAAATTTGGAACTTGTTTGTTTTCTATTTTCTTATACACAAATGATTTACAACTTTGGCAACATTAACATCATGAAAACCAGGGGAATCGCCCCCAACATTGTAATTTTCATTCACAAAGCAGACGCAAACCATTTATACCTTTTAATGCAGAGAAATGAAGTAGGATGCCACGATTTCCACTCTTATTCTATGTTGAACATCTCAACAATTCATACTGCACAGTATGTATTATGTAACTAATAATCAAGCTAACATATGACTATATTTTCTCATTTGGTGCTTAATATGCAAGTTCAACACAACACAATACAAAGTGGCAGTGATATTCAAGATGATTGTTTAAATTCACTTGGTCCATTTTGGTCATCACGTGTAGTTCATGTCAGTGACTGTCACATACATTGTACTCTGCAGCAGAAAACTCAAGTGTATCCACCTGCTTCTTCCATGCAGCTTCATCTCCAGCAAAAAAGATGCTCATGAACATTTTCAGAAAGAAAAATATAACCAGCACTTTCATGATTAAAAAATTGTTTATGGGGTGTTAAATGAGAAACACTGCTTTAAATAAAATGTAGACGTAACTCTTTTATTTGGTATAATTTCATCTTCCAGGTAAGCTAAGGCAAAAATCTTTATCATCACCACCAGTCAATGCTACCATCAGAGTTACCACCACCATCACCACTACCAGCACCACTTGCATCACCGGAACATACGGTAATGTCCCCAAATAAGCATCCTCACACACTGCCCTCCGCAAATAAAAAGTAAATGGTCTTTTTATATTGAAGGAAAAATATTTTGAAAGTAACAATATCAGCAAATTTTACAAGTCCTCATGCAATCTAATAACAGCAAATGAAATGAACTGTCCAATCACTTCTCAGTTATTAACAAATTAAGGGTGCAGTTAAAAAACATGAGGACCAGTAAAAATTCCTCAAAAATGCATATTCTTGTTCTAAAAATAGAAAGGTAATTTAATTCTTACAATGAAAGAAGTACATTGTATAAAATACGTTAATAAATAAAAAACTAATTCCACTGATTTTTTCTCCATCGCAAAAAAAAGTGATTCATAGAAAATAATGAAACCACTCTTTTCATCATTTCATCTTGAGAAATTTAACATTGTGACCTAACCTTTAAAAAAAGCTTTCTTTAAGGTAAAACATAAAAATAAATAGAACAAGAATGATCACTTATTAACTCATAAGTTTTCTTAAAATGCAGCCCAACTGGAACGTGCATCCCAGTTCAGTGTGTAGGTATTATTACCTGTGGAAAACTCCAGGGAGAAATTTATGCCACATGCTGATTCAGAGTTTGGAGTATGCACAAGAGGCTTACAACAGCAGCAATAATGCCAGAGGTTTAACAATAATATCACTCAAAATTCTGCAGAGCTTCCAACGTGAGAGCCCCAACCTAGAAACTAGTCATAAATGCCCAATCTTGTCATTTTCAACAACCTTACATCACACATGCAATTAACTTTCTTTCCTTCTGCATAGTCTCATCTCACACAAGTCAAACATGATTAAATGAGGAACAAGTGTTTCTACAATCAAGGCAGTGGTAAATTGCACACTTGAGGATTATTGCCAGCTACTCCCAACTCCACAAAATTATGGATAATAAAAATGCCGTTGCAATTCGAGCTTAACCCAAGAACACATGATTTCACTGGAGGGTCTGGGTCTCTCGGTCCACTTTAAGGGAATGAAAGCTTTCGGGATCTCTGTGAATGACATCCAATCTATATCACACTACTTTCAACATCTTTTTACAATTGGTTCACATATAATATAATAAATATTATATCACATGTATATTTCAAAAATAAAATCTTCAACATACAAAACATACAGAATTTAATAACATTCAATATATATATATATATTTATAACTCAAAGTGTCAGATGCAATTACCAACTGACACACAACATATTTTAATACATTAATTTGTGCGTACCCCACTCACACCAGACATGCGAACATACAGCTGTGGTAGTGGTGGTGATAACTATGAACCATCTAACAGCAAGTTCCAACTAAATATATCACTACACAACACTGATCCTGTCATAAACACCTCAATTTATTTAATGATCATCACACCAGTGCTTCCTGATTGCAGAACCAGCTGTACATAACATGAGGAAGCTAGCATCACAGCAATGCCACTTGCATGGTGCACATCTCTTTCCTCCCCAGCTCTAAGCATCTGCAAAAGCAGGAAGGTACCTCACTCAAGGGCACAAGCCCCAGAATGGTTGATGGACAGAGCTCTTTTACATTCACTACACAGCTGAGAAGGCCAAGACACATTGCAGAGGAGGTCCTGTCCTGTTGCAAGCCTCCCTCAAACAAAATGGAAATTAGATGTGCTGAGACACAGAAGACAGAAGTCTTAGGCTTCAGGATAGAAAATACACATCATTTCCTATACTGAACCATCACCCAACACTGGCAAGGCACATCTATACCCCAAAGAAAACCACCTCTGCTGTAAGATGTGCCAAAAGCAAATTACTGAAAACAGGTCAGCAAGATGCGCAGTAATATACTCAGTGGGGTAAAATACTAGACTGATGCATGTATTGCAAGCACACAGCTGGCAGTATAAGTATCACTGGAGTAAACCCAATAACATATGATACACCTATCCACTACTACCATATTTGCTCATGTAGGAAGTAGTCTAAAATCAAATCAAATGAAACGAAATTCTGGAAAACAAGGAAGAAAATAAACTTATATAACAAAAAGACTCGACTTTTTGGTATCCTTTCTCCCAGTCATAAGGCTAACAAGTAAACGGCAAAATTCTATTTAGAATATGCTAACATTATAAGAACAAGAAAATATAAGTATGTACATTACTCTGAAATTTTCCTACCATTTCATGAAGGTTCTTCGTATTTCAATATTATCCTTACACTTTCCACACTATTCCTTCATTAAATTCACACATTTCATTCTTAGCATTACAATCACAAATAAGAATTCTTACCAAATTACATTTGAAACGAACTCCCTTGGTCTGCTCTGGAAGAACAAGTCTAGGTGTAGTTTCCCTAAAATTTTATAACTCAACAAAAACGACATTATAATTTTTCTTTTAATTTTGAAAAACAAATATTTTATATACGGCCATATTTCACATACAAAATCTCTACTACAATTTCAAGACAATTTTGAGTGAGTAATGGTATCAAACAAGTTAGTTTCCCTAAACCAACTGGTAAAAACCATTAAGGGGAAAGATTGCTTTGGTGAACTCTCATTACTAGCTTCAATTCCAGCAAGACTGCTAACAGGAAAAAACTACCAGAGGATTTACATTTAACACGAGCAAATATGGTATAAATTTGAAATGAAGTGTGTTTCTTGCTCGTTTCATATTGTTTCAAAATTCATGACAAGCAGTCAATTTGCACTACATACAGATCTTGTAAATAGTCCAGATGCTGGCATTTTCCCAGTTCATTGGTATAGTCACTGAAGTGTTCACTGCAGCATTTTCACAAGCGCCCAAATTCCTACTATTTCTACCATATGTAAGGGACCTCATAAAAAAAATTTAAAAAAACAAACAGAAATGCTGTGTACGTATCTGCAAACAATCACACTTTTGCCAATTCTTCTCAGACCTTTCTTCATTCACACATTTCTAATTCCATCACCGTACCTACTGTAACCCACAAGAGTTATACCCTTTGCATTAAATTATGAAGTGCTTTATTTGAAATTGTTAAATTTGGAGGAAATGGGCAAACTGGAATACTACTCCCTTACAAACATTGACTTGCATTCCCATAAGGCAGTCAAGTTCTGCCAGTTATGTAGGAAAGAAATAGAGTGGAGTACCTAACATTCTACAAAACAAATTTTGGAAAGATATTAGAATTTTCATGAAATTTTATAACCCAAGAGCATGAGAATCATAATTGTATGTCAGGAACAAGAGCTATCACATTCTCAGCTCAGCATTTTTCTTCCACTGTTGTAAATGTCTGAAGTTAACCAGAGCACATAATTTCTTGGCTTTCTTGGCTCTGACAATTTCTCAACCCCAGTGCCTACTTAATTTATTCATCAGGTATAAATTCCTGCAACGATGTCCATTGTCACATACCATTACAGCATCATAGCAGATTCCCTGTACATTTCCCAGTATCAAGTGCCATGTAGTGGTAGGAATGGTACAGCTCACATTTGAACAGCCTGGTTAGTGCAGGTTCAATAGTTAATTTACACCACAAACATTTTTTTCAATTTCAGTTGATAAATTAATTCAAAGAAAATACCATGGGTTACACAGGTTAACTGAGTATTCTGTTGACAGTGACTAATTGTGTGGTTTACTTCAACAGAACACGTTATTTTCAAATTTAAAAAATTGGAAAGACAATATACAATTCAAAGGAAAATAATTTGAACCAAAAAAGGATTCAGAGAGTAGGTAAGAAAAGAAGACACAAAATAGAGTGTAAGTAATAAAAGATTGAGAAACAAAGGAAGCAATGAAAGATATTACTTCTGCCTTCCAGGCCTCAGCTTGTGGAGCACTTAAACAAATGCAGAGATCCACAGCATAATAAACATGTTCATACTACTATATTTGTCCAGATGACAACTCATGGTATTTTATAATCCAATAAATTATTCACAAAACTGCATTGTTCTTTTCCACAAAAGAAAAATTAACCAATAAGCTTTATAATATACATAAAATTCTGCAAATAAACTTACAGGATCTTCCCACATTTCAGAAAACAAATATTCTAAAGATAGCAGTACTCAATCAATACATATAACTCCAACAGCTTACTGATCATTAAACTAGATCTGAAATAGTACACATGACCTTCCTTAAATTGAACACAACTACCACCAGTTAGCACTAACAAGAAACAAACAGGTCTACCTAGGCATTCTTTTTACCCTGCACCGATTTTTCTGAACCATGGGAAGATTACCCAGTTTTCCATTTTAGTTTATGGTATTCATCTGCACATTTTTAACATAGTAATTGGCTTTCACTCAAAAATATGTTCCAGATCTGGGATAAATTCAATAAAAATAACGAAACACCAATGAGCATTTGAATACCATAACTAACAAACTAAAAAAGGATCAAGTTCTAAAACCTGCAACAGCATGTGAGCTGTTAGGCCATGAAAAAGACATTCCCTGATGACTAGTACTATACAAGTTTTCTCAAAGAGCAGTTAGCAGGGCATTTTACTGAACTTTAAGAAAATAACTATGCACCTTTGTTACATCACAGAGCTACCAATGTTCTGGACAAAATTAATATAAAACTCCATGTGAGCACCTGGCTCCAGGAGGGAGCAGCTGTGGCAGGCTCATGTGCACAAATACCAGTACAGTAGCCAAGTGTCTGGCTTGCTTTGGTCAACTTCCAAGGAATGGTAGCCAATTCAAAATTTGATTTGGCAAAAATTTCAACCAATTTAAAACAAAACAAAAAGATTTGGCACAGCACCATTACTGATTTAAAATATGAGATGAAATTCTATCTCCAAGCTTGCAACAATTTTAGAAAACACAGTTCAATGCATGACAGTGTTTTCTCAAAACTTGCTATTCAAGTTAACTATTTGACTACATCTTGTTTTTGGCAGTTATGTATATCATCTCCCTCCTGGCACATGACAACACTAAACAACTTTCCATAAAATGAAATAAAACCTGTAATGGTTTTATAGGTTTCAATATTTGAAAAAGAAAATTAGTCCCAAAGTTATAGTAGTCTGAAAACTTTTTAATCTTCTTAACAATATACAAACATATGGTGGGAACTCTCATTATATTTCCCAAATGAAATCTCTAAATAAAATTAACAATGAATTAACTTTACCCAAACTATCTCAAAATTATATTCACAAACATATCTTGCAACAACCTCAACCTAATCTGTAAAACATGACTTTGTGATGCCTTACAGGATGGGTAGTATTCAATCAAATAACAAATTCCTGTATGCTCACATTCAGCTTCTGAATGAGCATCTTCAAGATATTTAAACTTTCAGAGACCATAACTATATCATGACTTGGCAGTCAAGTGGTGAGATTGTTTTAACCTACACTACTTGACCACCATCATGTCCGTGTTCCTCGGGCACGCACAAGGCTGTTTCAACCTTGTAACAGGAAGAGACATAACAACCAAATCGGTCAGCAATCACTAATAAGATAAATTTTACAAGCCTTTTTTTTAATGAGAGGTTCTTTTAATGGCTCACCATTTGCAGTAGGTACTCTCTGTAATTTTTTTCCCACATATATGCATCGCAAATCTCTATGATCCCTCTCCCAAGTTGATGATAATTGAGAATTGTACCAACAACAGGGAAATTTGTCTTCCCCTTCAGTTTCACAAAAATCAAGTTCTTACTGAAGAAACTGCTCAAGCAAATCAAAAATTCAATCATACCCAATGTGGTCTTTCAGAGCCACGTCTTGCCATCTCAGCTGACCACTTTAAATTAATCACACATATTTTACAATTGATGTAAAATGTAGTTACAGAACTACTTCTCAATCATTTTCCTAATTGCTCACTAAAATCTGTCTTAAATTTGCTTTTGCATTACCTTGAAAAATACCTCTGCAGCATTTTCTAAACATTCGTTAACTAGTTACCCCACACAACAGTTCCAGGAATCCTTTCATTATCATTTATAATTAATGATCTGGTCTCCACATCATACATAATAACAGATTAATTAAAATCAGTTATCATCTTTGCAGTAATATTTAACTTCACAAATATGAATCAATACCTTCATCCTTATCCTTAATTAATTATATTCCCCATCTTTTGTGGTTTCACCCCACCCACATTCAAGCCCCACTAGTCCGAACAGTCCTGGCCCTTGCAATGTACCCCATTTCATCTTCCTTCATTTGGATGGACATTTTTGAAAAATTCTAATGGTTAGCTAAACCTCACTTGGCATTGGGCCCTGCCTCAGAGCCTCCAGCCACAGACACTTTCTCCCCACCTTCTTTCATCTTTTCACAGTAATCTGCGAAGATATCACGAAACCGGGCCCATGACTTCTCTGGAACTGTGATGGCTGTTCTAAAATTGGTTTTTACCTGCAAGTAACAAATCCATGGAATTATTCACAGATCATAATAAAAATAGTGTTCCAGATCAATAAAACAGGAATTATGACAGAAATAAACAGTACTTATATTAAATATAAATATTTCAATTTATCAGTTTATTTACGATTCACAAATTAATTTATTAAACATTCCTTAATGAATCCCCAAATAAATAACTTAAGCTTAATAGATGTCACTTCAATAAGGATTTTCAATCTTGTTCACACGAAATGAATTTGAAAAAAATAAATAAATTTGTATGAGAAAATAAATACAACCCATAAAATCTGGTGACAACTTCTAATAATTGTGAATATAATTAAAATCACAATAATTTTGAAATAGTTAGAACTACCTATATGTAGCATTTCAACCATTACAGAATATGCAAGCTTATCAATTTATTGAAAAATATATTCTTTTCAATTTTTCTAATCTAAGTACATTATATTTTGTTCGAGAGATGTCCTGTTATTAAATATAGAGAGAAGTTCTTAATTAGCATCATATTACTCACAAAAGGAAAGCAGTGAAGAAAACTAATTATATTATTTTGACATTCTCAATTTCTTTTCACACTTCCTTTTAATGATCTCAAAACATTATTATCCATACACACATTTACCTTTTAACAAGCTGTATTCATAACCTATCAAAAGCAAACAGAAAATATTTTTGCCTCAAACACTCACTGGCCTGTTCATGGTACCCTTAGGTAATACATTTTGTTCTTCACGAATCGCAAATTGTAAAAATGCCTGCAAACAGCTTTCTCTTAAGGGATTGCATGATGAAATTTGCAAATGTACCTTAACTATGAAAATAAGTAAAATTCTAAATGGCTGTAATTAAAAAACATTTATAAAAAAATTAATAATGTAGCCTGAACTGGACACTAAAAGAAACGTAACAAAATAAGGTACTTAAAAAATCTCATTCATTACAATTCTACATTGCCAGTAGTTTAGTTTATATTTTTGGGCTTATTTCAAATTCCGTGATTTCATAAAAATCCATGATAAAAAGCAGTTTCATTTGAAAGATTAATTAGAGATGCCAAAGAACTCTCAAAAAATATTTTAACAAGTTCAGTCCCCATAACATTTAAAAAATTCAACTGATAAATGAACTTTACAAATCAATTTTTAGATAAAACAATTTCATTTGAGTGAGCCCCCCATTCCGAATAGTGTTTTCATCTGTTTACTGTCTGTATCCCCGACAATGGTATTTTGGCCACCATTTTTATGTAAATCATCACAAACCAAAATTTACATTCTCCAAAAATTAAAATTCCTTGATATTTTTCAAAGCAATAAAGTAGTTGTGTCATAATTGCAAGTAAATAATAGACTTATGTTTACCAAATGACACATATGCACTCATGCAAAATAGTAAAGCCTTAAAAATAAACAAACATCATAATATACAATTAATTTCACACAACCATTGGGAAGACCTATTTTGAAATCATAAAATTTAAGTAGAATGTGTTGTACACACAATACATTTTATTAATTTAATATGATCACTAAATATTTTTCCTTTAATAATTTTATATAATTCAATCCTCCACTGAAACCAAATTAAACTCTGCTAATTAATAAAATTTGAAGTCTCTTGCTGGACAATGACACCTCTTCTGAATAATCATTTGACATTACACAAAAGCTTTCATTTATGAGTCATCCTGTCCAACAAGCAACAATAGAGAAACATACTACCATAGCTTTAGCATTATGCACCTGCAATCCTATTTCACCCAATTTTAGGTAGAAAATAATAGATATACAAATGAATTTTTTTTTTGAAAATACAATAAATACCAAAATAAGAAATTTAAAAAGGAATGTTTATTGTAATTACACATTTTCTTAAAAGGCAAAAAAGTTAATTAAGGTCAATGATGAAGGTAAAATTACCGAGTATCAGATGAAAAACTTCAGTGAATACAAATCACTAAAATTTACAATATACTATTCACTTTTAGTTAACATACACAAAATCGTCACAGCCTTCAATGAAACAAATGAAAACAGATCAATTTTTCACAGCACACCTATGAACAGTTTTAACATATTACTTCAAGAAAAGATCTATCAATATGCAAATGATAAATGTAAAAAATCTACGATGGGAAAAATATAATATGGAAATGAATGAACATGGGAAGGAAAATTGGAAACTGGATAAAAAAAAAATTAAGATCATGTGAAATGTGATGAAGCAAGCCAACTGACGATAACAGAATTGGTATGGAACGGTAAATATTTGTTTTCGGATTCAAAGTCAGCAACATTTGTATCCAAGCCAACCCCTTGCTTATGCATGGTAAATATGTTATACATATAGATTTACCTAATTACAGCAATATCAGACTCATTAACACCAATTCCCTCTTTTTCAATCCAAGAATCCTGAATAATCCTTTACTAGAGGTGAGTTGTCTGCATGGTGACCTTCAATTAATATTTTCAAAGTAGTACACTCACAAAGATCATGATTACAAAATCATTCATATTAATACTAAAGAAAAACTGGAGAGAAACCTTTAAAAATATGTTCTGTGAAAATAATACATGGAATTTTACTGAAAAAAGCTTTAGCACTCTACCTGGGGAATTTAAATACAGAAATATTATACATTATATATATGAAAAATTATCTCCCAAGTCAATAAAGAAATGTTCTTACAACACAGTTGCAACAAAGCCAATGCAGTCTTATCTCTTTCACTACAGTAATTCTAGCTCTTATTTTGCCAATTTGAGATAGTTATGAAGACAGATCAAGAACTAACAAAAATATTACTTGAAAAATGTGTGAAACACAAAAGTAGTTGTAATACAGAAGGAGTATTTGTTGAATGTCATAACTGCATGCATTTAAGAGGCTTCCAGAACCAAACTAATGTGTGCTGGAGAGAGGTAATTGTGGAAACTTACAAGTGAAAGAGACTAAGGGAATACTAGACCAGTCTTAAACTGACCGCCACACAGTAAAGGTCAGTTTAAAACAAGATCCAGTTGGAAGACAGAACATGAGAGCTAGAATGTCAGGTGGTAAATCTTGAAATACACGTTTTTTAATACTAGGGTAATTAATTAATAAGTATCTAAGTATCAAGTTATCATCTTATAAATTTTCTAGACTCTTCTTATCTAACCTGTCATTTTATTTCTGTGTCAAGATATCAATACTGAAAAATCCCGAAATTAAACCTAACTATTTGGGAAGAATTTTAATATTTGTACCTTTTTAAAAATATACTAGCAAATCACAGTTGTTTTATACAGCAGACTAAAAAATGAACATTTACCACAATAAAAATTAAAATGTGTATCAATAATAATAAAGAACACAAAAAAACAAAAATTATATATTATTACATTACAATACTACCAGAGAGAAAGAGACAGCTAATAATAATAATAATATTATTATTATTATTATTATTATTATTATTAATAATAACAACAACAACAACAAAATAGAAAAAAATAAGTGTTCATAAAAAAGTTGCATTTCACATCATATATAAACCAACCTTCAACCTATCTATGTACTTAATGTTTATGATACAAAGTCAGTACTTGCATGTCTCCTAATAACTAAAGTGAATAAAGCATACTCACCTCAGATATACGCATATATATTCCACGATTATTCTGGCCAATATCAAAGTAAAAATTTTTATTTTCCACTCGCATGTGCCTCCCTTCTGGTAATTCCCCTTTAAAACCACCGTCATCTGTCCCAAATTCTTCCAACAGGTCTGTCAATGCATCGCGAAACTCAATCATTCCCTGGGCAGGAATTGCAATCTGAGAACGAGGCCCACCACGAGTGATGGTCTGGGAAACCTACAAAAAAGCCATCTTATAAGAATATTTCTACAGTTGAAAACATAAAATATTTTATCATATTAAGCAATGACAAACACTTTTACATTCAATGTATAAATTATTGTACAGTAAAGTGTACATGCAAATGGATTTTATTCGGTTAACTTTCACAGCAAATAATTTATATCAATTTTGCATAATGTATAACATATTTTTTAAACATTCAGTGCAAATTAATAAACATTTTGCAGAAGCAAGAAATAATTTGCACAGACAGAAGCCTGAGGCTCTTCTAAAACATCCATGATCCGATACTAAGTAGTTTAAGAAACACAACACCACAACATATTTTTTAGCAAGCAAATTAAATTTCACACAATAATAAGGAAAGACAAAGTTATTTAGGTACTTATCTGGAAATGTTTAATATGTATGAAAAGCTAGCAGAATTAAGAGACAGACCTAAACAGAATTATTTCAAATACAACTAATTTCATGTAACTGATATTAAATCTATTAGTTTTAAAAGCACAGACAAATTCTTTAATAATTGCAGATATCAGAACACTGAATAAGATTTACTGGATGTTTATAATTTTTTTTCAGTCTGAAAAACACCTAACTTCAACATAAATAGAGCTAACTTGTTCATAAGAGACAGTCAGTTTTCTTTCAGATGTAACAAGAGATTATAAAATATACATCTGATACATTTTAGGGTGCTAATTTTAACTATTCTACCATATGGCAAAACAAGTGCTAACTAGTCTTCTACATTACTGATAAACTTTAATAATGTAAAATTCTTAAATAACGAATGGAAAGATAATGAAATTTGATTTGCAAAAATTATTTCTATAGATTTAGGCTGTGAATTCTTGAAATCCCCCCCACCCCGCACACCTACAGATATACGAACACTACGTAAACTAGAATAAGGAATTAAATTAAATACACACAATTGCAGTCAATACAGATAATTAAAAACAACACAGAACTAAGAACATATTAATAGTAAATTTAAGATAAAGATCAATACAAATTCAAACAGTATAGCAATAAGTATAAATATTACACTTACACTCACCCTCAGGAATCTTCCACGGGAATTCTCCTTAAGGTCCAAATAATATCGTCTATTGTCCTTTATCATCATTTCTGATTTTAGCTTACCATCCTCTGGCACGTTTTCTGGATTTGGGGGACCTAGGGAGGCATAAAAATCACTAAACGTTGACAAATGATCCCTAAATTCTGCAGCTGTTGACAGTGCTAAGAATATCTGACTGCGTCTTCCATCTGCACCAATCTGAAACAACCAATGAACATGATCATACAATAAATAATTGCTTTCAAAAATTTGTTCATCACTTTCAACAAAAAATATAAAACATTATCATTAAGAATAACTTACTTCAGCTACTTTTATAAATCTTCCTCTCCTATTCTGCTTCACATCAAGGTAAAATCGTTTAGATTGAATTTGAAGCATTTTTGTTGCCAACTCCTGCTCCCCTTGTTGCTGTTGTCCTGAAATACAAGAGACTACATTATGTACTAAGTAATAAGATAGGACTATAATAAGATAATTAATGTACATTCTGGGCATTTCTCATCTACTCTTCAAAGCAGAATTTGTTTAGATTTCTGCCTTAGATAATACTATAGAATATTGAACAGATTAACAGTTGTCCTTAGCTTATAAGATTAAAACGTATGTAACATGTTCTGGGATTCTCAACACAAAAGCGCACACCTGTTATGATTCTTACCTGGAGGTGACAACATATCACCACGAAACACCCGACTTCGATACATGATGCTACTAGCATGTTGTGTCTACAGATTTACGAAGCACAGAGTAGGTCTCGGAACTTATCAACGGGTTATATATCAATGTAGTCCGTATTGCAATACTCTAAAACAGTTATGCTTACGGCTAGCAGTAGAGTTTCTATTGCCAATGGAGGTGAACTTCACTGATCTCATTTCATTCCTTTAATGAACTTCAATAAAAATGAAAGTAGAACAGCACTGCTGCGATTCAAAATTTTGGCACCGTCACCACAAGCATTCACTACACTGCTATTCACATATTGGATATATTCACAGGCTTTCAGAAAACTGATTCTAGAAATCTCTCAAATGAAAACAAAACATAACCTATAGAAAGTATTTTTAACGCCAACATCGCACTACCAGTAGTTGGTGGTCATTATGAAAGAATAAAATCTACGTGCTCTACCACTATATGAACAAATAGCGATGGTTTACTTAAAACACAACACTTCACTCTGGTATTTTGTCTACCGGGAAACTCCTGCATCCAATTATTTGTGAATGCATCCGATCATTCCTTCACTCACTTCCCGACTGGCAGCCATGATAGCACACGATTCAGACAAGAACAGGATCAGTCCACTATGGGCTAGGGGGATCATTACTGTACCACCGACTTTCGTACTCATACTCCTAGCAGTCCAGAAACAAGAATTTCAGTGTCGGTTTCAGATGTCTATAATTTTATATTTACTTTTTTACAATATCTTAATTTTAAGATATTTATCCTCTTGAAATAAAATAGGCCTATACTGGAAACGAACGAACACGTCAGTGTACATGACGTTTAAGCAAACGCGTAAAACGCATTTTGAAAATGAAAATCTTGAAATAATAAATTGTAAAATTAAAAAAAAAAATCGAAAAAAATATTAATAAGAATAACACATTATGATATCCTTAACGAGACCACAAAATAAATTTATTTTCCAGTCCCTGACAAGTGCATTCCTCGGCAATAAGATGTTCATGGCTAAACTAAGAATCAGTACTTGTGTTTTTGATTTCATATTCCATAGTTCTTTAAGACGGGGAAAATAATGATTTGATTTTACATCGATAAGAGTTTATATTTAGTCCTACTTTATCTTGATAAACTGTTTCAAACTAGCTTTAATACAACTGGGATAATTTTGATTCCAAGTTTCATGGGCGTGTTTGTGAATTAAATGATAATGATATTTTCTTTGAGTAATTCACACATTAATTATATTAATATTTTTTTTAAATATTCGTTGTAAACAATGTATCATCTCAATATCAGTCAATATCTTATACATTCCAGTAAGAACCATTATTGAATACTTCTCTCTTCGATCAAATTAATTCTACATTGGGACAGATACGCTCACACCTGCAAAGAAATTTGAGAGCAATTTGTATTTTGTATTACAAATATTAAAATCGTTGACTAATGCAAACACAGATGAAACAAAATGCCCAACGTGACTTATTGCGACACTTATCCGATTTGCAAGGTATTCGATTTTCCAGATCAGAAGACAAGAACACTACCAAGTCAATGCTCAAAGCATAGCAAATAGTAAACACGGTCATTAAAATCATCAAAACAAATCAATTGAAATTCATGTTACACTGCAATGAAGGTTCTGATTTCCTCATATCCATTTTAGCTCCAAAGCGACACACGGAATTTTGATGTCTCAACCTAACATTACACTAGCTTCGTTATAAAAAAAGTTATTTACAAAAAACGATTAAAAGACCAAATGATGTGGTTTCGGCACGCAAAAAATAGAAGTTCTTTCAGCTACCAAGAACCCTACCGCAAGGAACACTATACTTCGATTTTTCTATCGTGGGTGATGACATTAGGTCATTGTTACACATCCCATGTTTTGAAATGAATCTTCTTAATTCGCGAACGTCCTTCTCAACGAGGCTCGTGGCGTCAGAAATGTGCCTACCACTGTTAAAAGGATTCATTTTATAAGGTAGGAGTAACAATGACCAAATATCATAGGTCACTATAGAAAAATCGAAGTATTGTTAAAATTGACTTATAAGTCTCAAGATAATCGCAATCGGCAACCCGATACAGGCAAACAATACACACGACGCGCCGAACGCGCCTATTGCCCATGAAGAAAGTAACGAGCACAAGAAACAAACGAAAACAAATCGCACGGTATGTAAAATACAAATTATCCGTCTTTAACGATGCGTTTGTACTATCTCGCGACATTTACAATCCTATAAATAACTAAAAATATCACTTGTGTCCTCTCCTCGAAAATGTGAGAAAGATGTATCACAATCTGTTTAAAATAAGAAAGGACTGCCACTGACATAAGGGGCCGTCCATAAATTACGCACGCAAATGGGGGAGAGGGGTAATTTGAGTATCCCCTAATCCCCCTGCAACTCACCGATAACGCACGCTTGAACCCTCCCTATATAATTTCGTAACGCTTGCGACAAGTTCCTCTCCCATTTACAACATGTAAAAATAAATTATAAAGCAGAAACAACAAGTTGTATTAATTTTATTTGTGTTATATTTTTAAAATTTTAATCATTAATGTCAAAATTAGTTGGCGACTCAGACTGCCCTAACAATAAGATAGAGGATAATTTTTGAATGAATGTCGCGTAGGTGAGAAAATTTCTGACAAGCCGTGCCACACGCCGTCGTGGGCCAGAGTCTACTGCACCAATTTAATTTTTTTATAGTTTCTGGAGTAAAATATCGATAATTTTTGAATTTTTTCGACATCTAACAGATTTTATCAATACGCCATTGATGAAAAATATTTCCATTTATTGTAACAATTTATACATTTTTTATGCATTTTTTAAATTTAATTTGGTAATATTTGTATGTTTTGGTATAAGAGGAGGTATTAAAGGAATTATTTCAGCGAACATTATCAAAAAATGCTTCAGACGTACCGTAAAACTTCGGTACATTTGGTAATTTTCAATTTTAGAAGTGTATCTCTTTAAAACATTAATTAAAAAAAAGAAATTAAATAAATAATGGAGCGTTAATCCATTGTTGCCAAATGTATCTAGACGTCATAAATTAACAGAAAGGGAAAAAGTCTAGAACGGAAAGTTAGGTTATTGGCTCTAACTGGCGGGAATTTCAAGTGTGTAAATTATCAAAGTATTACGAAACTAAAAACATGAGAGAATGGTTCAGTTTCAGACATACGCATGAATTTCAAATAGGCGGGAAACTGGTTGTCTCTTTTCCCTATCACAGATGGTACTATAGGACCACTCTTCTTTGATGGGGTTTCTTTAAAGCTATGTTATTTGACTTTTTCGTATTTACTCCGTAGAAAGAAGTACGAAGTGCTACAGGAAAAAATACCGAATTTTCGATAAACAAACATGTTTTGGGGGTCCCTGTGGATTATCTTGTGGACAACAACAACAGATACAAGTGGATTATCTTGCTTCTGTTGTGTATCAAGGACAAAAATTAAAAATACAATTTGAAAAAAAAAAAAATAAATAAATAAATTATTAATCGCTTTTACATCAAGCAGAAATTAGGCGAAAAGTAGTTTTTATTATTTGATTTCACATGCTCTTGCCAGCTGCCATCTATCGCCTTCCAAAGTAAATTTTTGGCATTTTTATAATTTTTCGGTTTCCTAATAATAGAACGGAAATATTATTTTAAGAATATTAAAGAACAGTAAAATCTCGTCATCAATGGCGATTGTCTTTAAAAATGGATGAGTTTATAAGAAAATGACGCTTAAGCGCTCCTGTAAATTCGAAATTTAAAGCTCCTTTTCACAGAAAAGTTTTGAGGTTTCAAAAAACTTCATAAGACGTCATTTCAAGCACATTCACTCAAAAATACAATATTATTTACAAATTGCTGAAACTGTGTATATTAACCACGTGAGAGACCTTTCAAAAACATTACATGTCTGTGATTTTTGAAAACAAACAAAACGACTACCCCAAAATGATCTTTACGTCATATTAAAGAGTGTAATTAGCACTATCCGTTCGAAAAGTTTGAAGAAAAAATTTGAAGCCGTTTTTGAGAAAATGGCGATTGAGTGAAAATGTGTAATATGAGTTTTCACAGAAAACTGGTGAGTTTTCGAGAAACTGCTCAAGCTGATCGTATTCGTAAATATAATAATGCGAACAAATCGCCTCTAATGTAAATATTATCGATGTGAGAAACAAGGTAAAAAAAAGAAAAGATTTTTGTCATTTTTTGAAAAAAACAAACAAAAGAATAGAGCAATAAAGCGTTTATGTCACCTCATAGGGTGCATTTAGAACTATCCCTACCAAAAGTTTAAAACATGGAGCAGTTTTTGAGAAAACCTTGTTTTAGTTATTTTTAAAATTGCAAATATTGCAGGATATAATGCTCGAAAACTACTTAAATTTTGAAAAAAAAAATCATGACCGAAATAAAAGAACTAATTATGGACAAGAAATTTCATTTGAAGGAAAAATCTTGTAGTTTGTAGGAAGATATCGAAAAAATTCAAATTTTTGAAATATTTAAAAATTCAGAGTACACCGTGAAAATAGGACATATGCCACTTTTATAAGTGTATTTTACTCTATTCGTAGAAGAAATGTAAAGAAAAAATTTGGAGCAGTTTTTGAGAAAATTTTGAAAATGCCCAAGGGACTTCATGTTAAGTATACCCAAAATTTAAAGATTTTTTTTTCAAAATCTGATCTGATATCCTTCCCCATACGTCACATACAGTTTTTACTGCTTTTTTTACTAAATCAATTTTAATCAAATCTCACATCTTCGGTTCGAGTCAAATGGATAGGGGTTTCTTCAATTTGGGAAAAATCCTACATATGGTTTAGGTGCTAGTGGTGTTCACAGACAGACGGACAGACGGACGTAAAAAAAAATATTTTCAGTATCAGGGGACCCCAAAACGTGTATTTCCGTTGATCTCTCGAAATAGATTTTCCGCAACAATACATAACTTTCCCCATACTACGTATATTACTCCGCATTTACGTACGTATACGGGAATGTAAAAAGACAAGAGATTGTTAAAACGATTATTAATTTATTATACCTCTTCTAGACAACTTTTTATAAATCTTGACAAGAGTTCGTCGTGTGTAGGCAACCCTCATTACAAATATGCGTTATTCCGGAAGGGTTGCGTTGCCCCTGAGAGGGCAGAATATTGCATTATACGAACGAGACGATGTCTATATGTCTGGCACCACGAGGACAACAGATCCTGAAAAAACTTTACGTTTACATGCAAAAAGAGCTGGTCGAAGCCACGAAATCACATCATCTTGCCGCCTCTTCCAACAAAAGAACGAATATTGCATTTTGCATGAAAAATACACCGAGGAAAATAATAATAATAATAATAATAATAATAATAATAATAATAATAACAACAACAATAATGGCCCCCTTGGCGCAGACGTTTGCGGCAGGTCGTCTGCGCCGAGGAGGCTGCAGGTTCGGGTCCTGCATAGAATCGCGACATGGTCGTATTTGCGATTTTTCACCCTTCATCATCATCCTATCATCTCATAATTTACACTTCAAGGTGTAACAACCTAGTCGTACAGCTGAAAATCTAATCCTGGAAAAATTACACACGTTAATCGTGTAGCGTGGTCAGTAATGGCTTATACGTCAACAACAACAACAACAACAACAACAACAACAATAATAATAATAATAATAATAATAATAATA